CTTTTGTCTCCCTTCTTGTCTCCCTTCTTGTTGGCCATTGTGTCCGTCTTGTCTCCCTTCTGTTTTCTTTGGTCTCCCTTCTTGTCTCTCTTCTTGTTGATGTCTCAAAAAGTGGACTTGGGAATGCTTCGTTGTTGTCCCACCTGTTTGGGGTCTACGGTGGTGTAATGTTTTATATTGAAAAACCTAATCAATTAATAAGGGTTTGAATTCTCTTGAGCTGAAGATCTGAGGCTGCAAAGAAAAAGGATTGCTGAGAACAATTACACAGCACCTGAGAAAGGAAGCTGAATACTACAATCAGTACAAAAGGAATCCTCACAGGAATCCAGATTTGTTTTGGTGGTAATTCATTATAGAGGGTCCCCTATTTGTTTGAGGGAGGGGGGGGACCCCCCTTTACTAATCAGGATCCAACATTATATAGTTATAATTCACACGCAATACGATGCTTCAGCGCCAGCGTCGCGTGCAAAGTGCACCAGGTGTGTGGACATGCAAGCGCACGCTTCACACACGCACAAAGGCAGAGACCAAGCCGCAACCACATCATAAGCTAGCCACCACCAAAAGATCAGCGAGCCACCGCCAAAACAGAACCGATACACTACCACAACAAATAAACTGGACAATGCAGCACCACCAAAACATAGCTGGCACACCAGCCGAACATGAGCAAGACACCACTGACAAAAGAGCGAGACACCACCAAAACATGACCGAGACAGCGAAACATGACCGAGAGACTCCACCAAACAAGGTAAACATGTCCGAGACACCGACGAAGCATGACCAAGACACCACAGAAAAGTAACGCAACGGAGACACTATCGAGACATGACCATGACCGAGACACCACCTAAACATGACCAAAACACTGCCTAAGCCTGACCGAGACATACCGAGACACCACCTAAACATGACTGAGACACCCGAGCCACCACCTCAACATGACCGAGACACCGGGGCACCACCCCCGTTCCCGTGTCCAATTGGTGGGGGTACCGCAAGTTAAGCCAAATCTCACCCCAGCTAGCCCTTGCTCAGCCTTTTCGCCACCTTGTCTGGCATGGTCATGGAGTCATGCACATTGATTTTGGAAAACTGCCAGTGGAAAGCACAAACAGGTCGTGCAAGCTTCTTGTGGTGGAGAACAACATCAGAGACTTGTTGAGAAGAATCTGGCTGTTCTCAAAATCAGCTTCAAGTCCAATTACAATAGTGTACAAAAAAAAGGGACGGCTGGGTGAAATCGACAAAGGCGGCATGGTAGCTCTGTTACGGCAACGAGGACCTTCCTTCCTGGGCATGCTAGCAGGCAACGCCGGCTCAATCAAACAAAGAAATCATGACCATGACGAGTCAGAAGCAGCAGGAGCCGCCCAGTTGTGAGATAAGCTCAGTAACCATTGTTGACTTGGTGAAAATTCCTGACATTGGGCTGCTGTTGATTCACACACGCCTCTTTCTGGACGGGGCCCGACATCTCGACGACCGACTCCCAAACTTCCAAGAAGGCCTGGCCAAACATCATCGCTTGGTCGCAGCAAGCGTGGCAGCGCTCCATGGACGCTTCCGGTCGCGAGCTCAGCAACATGATTTGCTCGAGTAGCCATTTGACTCGGCTGATAAGGACTGGATCTTGGAATATGTGGGTGCCCAAAAGTTTCAGACATCCCAAAGTCGGCATCACCTTCGGTACAAACTCATGGAAGAGGTTCTTGGATCGTGGACAGATCATTGTCGATTGACTGAAACCATGCGAAGCATTCAGTCAATCGACACATGGTCATTCCGCACGATACACCCCAAGTTCCCATCCCCCACGATGCGCCTCACAGCGATGCTCGGCACTGGTGAGCTGTTGCTTCAATAGCAGCTGCTTCTCCAAGGCCTTGGCAAAAGCAGAAAACATCGTTGGAGGCCATCGCTATTACTATTGGAAATTTTACAGTAAATCTTTATATCTCTTTATAGACTTTTATAAAAAGAAATGAACTATTACTAGCATTTATATGCCAGTTGCATAGAACATCATAGAACATCCAAACGGTCACAAGGTGATCACAAAGGTGGATATCAGGTGATGTAAAGGTCCATCGGGGCCAGTGGCCTGGTGCACCCGGTATCCACACCTCCACATATCGTTCGTCCGCAACCAGGGCCAACTCGTTCATAGCCTGTGGGTGCGAGGCAAAGTTGGGGGCTAAAGGAAGAGGCAAAGGAAAGCATTGAATTGCATCATCATGACCTCTAGATCTAGCATGTCAAATTATGTCAGGGCGCCCTCGAGCTTCTGCTGAAGGCAACCTGGCAGCTTCCTGTTACATCATGTCGCTTCCGCACCACCGCCCTGCTACTGAGCCCGTTGAGGGCCGACTCCGACACTCAGAGACCCACCTCCGCCATGGACCAAGCCCTGTATTCAGCCTCCTGGCAAGCAATTACGATCGCCCCCAGGCGCAAACTGCCCTGCCGCGTTGATCAGCTATCTCATTCTCTTACAGTGAAACAAGTTTTGAACTTGCAGCGGACAGTCAAAAAGGACGTTGGAATTTGCAAGTTGGCCACTGTGGCAGAAGCAGGTCTAAAGCTGCATAGACCTTTCTGTGAGCATGGAGGAAACGGGCCCGCCGCTTCTTGTGCAACGCGACATATCGCAGCAATGTGGTGCCTCCGCCCGCTTTTTCCAGAAATCGGCCAAGCGACGCGCCTGGTTCGAGAGTTCAAGAGGATAGAGCCCTACCTATGCTGCTTTAGCCAAAATGTGTCTAAGCATGAGTTTGACGAACTTGAGCTGTAACATGAGTCTCTAGTCTATTGTGTATAAATCAACCTCATTGAAGCTCCAGCCGCATGATCCTCACAATCCCACTCACATCATAGAAATTGGAAGGCTACAGCCCGGGAACCGCATGGAAAAGGGTACGGTGCACAGCTCAAAGCACAGCAGTTTCGTATGATGGATCAATGACCTCCGCTAAGCTCTCTGAGGTACTGCTTCTCTCCTGCAGCAAAACTATATGTTTTGCAAAGTGACTCGGAGCACCGTGGCTCAGTGTAAATATATATAAACAAAGATTGAATTCTTGAATTCTTGCAATGACTGGCAGGTCAGGTGAGTATTGACAACGTATGACATTTGAGCGCCTTCATTGGCTTTGCCGAGTAAGGCGTAAGCTTCTTTGCCGCCAAACGGTACAGTATGTGGAGACCCTTCACTCGTGTTTGCAGGATGCAGTAAACTTGGGACTTGGATATGCCAAAAGTCTGAGGATCCTCCCAAACAAGAACAACTGAATGAAAACAACTGGAATTGACAAAGCATCAACACGGCACAGGTGCGCAAGCCCACCTCTTCACCTGAAGGTCTTTGCTCCTGGAAAGGACACAAGTCCAACCATTCTTCTGATCGCGACCCTCACAAATGGTGGCAAGAAACACTTCCCCCCCTGAGAATCCACAGACCATGAGCATGCCTCTGCCTGGCCTGGATTTTTTCGGTATCCGTTTCATGAAGTTGTCTTTCTTAGTTAAGCAACTAATGGCTTGCCTTAGCAGCCGCATTGCAGAGTGGAAGCCTTTGATGCCCGCCTCTATATTCTCGAGATGTCCCTTCCCCTTGCGTACCCACTGGTTTTGGTTTGCCTGCCCTGATCTCAGTTGATGGCTTTTGCGTGGTGAAAATGCTGTGGGTAGACCAGACATTGAAGTTCCATACAGAACTGGATCTGATCAAGACTCATGCTTGCATTCCTTGGTATTTAACTTAACTATATTACTATATGACTTATATACTATGTGTGCTGTACTTTATCCCTTTAGTTTCCTTTGCTGTTTCCACCAAAGGCTTGCTTTTGTCGTGTTGCTTGGTTTCAGACATAATTACTGTTACATATAGCACACTTGGTGCCAATGATCAATTTTCTTCCAGAACTTCTGTTGCAGGACACATACAGTAGCTCAAATCAAACTTGTGTCGGTAGCAACCGGAATCGTACTGTCCACACGCTCTTTTCACTGCGAAAGCGAGCACGGTATAGCTCAAGGGCCCTAGGAGCCAAACGGCGGCAGACACAACATAGTGTGACAACCTGGCTCAACAGAATGAGATTCTACCTCAAATTCACACTCAACCTGTTCTACAGGTGTCACACGGCTATACATTGAAACTCTTGTGTCTTCCTAAGGCATTGGAGAAATCTACTTCTGCTTCTGTACAGTGTAGTGGCACTCTTTCAGCACTCGAAGTAGCAGATCTGGCTTCATGGACTTCGTCAGACAGTCCGACACCATCGTACTGGTGGCAATCCAGATCAACTTGTCTCCTCCATTCTCGAAAACAATCCATGTTGGTCTTCCCTCTTGCCACAAATTCTCATGGATTCCTTGCAACTCGATACCAAGGCGCTTGTCACTCACCTTGGCCAGGACTTCCTGATTGAGGTGGTCAGAAAGCGAACGGCAATCAGTCATCGCCAAATGCGGAATGCTTTCACGGGCATCATCTTCCCATGTCTTCAAATTGCGAATCTTGCCCTTGATCTCCGCAATCACACCTCTCAGCTTGTCACCTGTCTCGAGTCCGTTCTGGAGGGAATACGTTTCGGCCTGGAGAGTGCTGCAGCAGACTCTCTTAATTGTCGTGGATCCAAAAGACAATGGCATCACCTTATAAGTGGTCGTCTTGTCATCTTTGATCTCCTTGAGATCACCCAGAAAATGGATCCTGCCCTGTTGCGACTTGTAGTTCTTCTCGTTGGAGAAGGAGGCATCTGTGACCGTGATCACACCAACTTCACCCCACTGGAGATGAGCCGCAGGAAAACACAATGCCACATCGTGACCTTTGTGTGCCAGGACAACGACTGCGTTAGCGTCTGCCAACGTGGACACAGTTGCATCTTTAATGCTAGACTGCAAACGGCTTACCCTGTAACCAAGGTCAGGCCTGGTCTGTCTCGAGATCCAGGCGAGCGATCCGGTGATCGATCTGAGCTTCGTGATGTCTCCTTGCTGGAGACGCTCACTGCCTAGCCTAGACCCAACATCTGCTCCGTGAATCTTCCTAGTGTTATCTGCTGTGTCGACTTTGATGACCTTGTCATCTCCTCGCACGAACTGCTTCCCACAATATCGAAAGCTGTTAGTGTCTGAGCTGCCGACACTGAACTTGGCAAGAAAAGACTTCATCACTTCCTCGCCTTCCGGAAGAAAACTATAAAGCAAGTCGTCCACGTGAGTGCACATGAGGGCACAAGCATCTCCTCCCTGCTCACCTGGGAGGTAGTACAATCCTGGGAAAAACTGGCTTGCCTTCAGGCCGCTCTTACGTGCGTCGGCATCCAAACGCAACCAAAAGCCTCTTCCTGAGTCCGTGATCCCGTATACAGGGACCCTCACGAGAAAAAGGACATTGGGTTCTACACCTGGCAAACCTCCTCTTGGCTGACGCATGAGAAGGACTCGGTCCAGTGGTCGTCCTTGGAAATATGCCGAGGTAATATCAGCGGAATGAATGTCGGCCTGGTGGCACGCTGCCCAGCTGCAGACGAGGCAATGCATCTCTACATCAGCTGTTGGACTATCTGACCTCAAACCCTCTGTCATTTCGAAGTTCCCGCGCGAAACTAGTCTGCTTTTATACATGGGCTTGTAGTCAGGGTCTCTCCCCTTCTTGTACTCTGCTTTGTCTACATCCACCCATTTGGATGGAATGCATTGGCGCCCTTCGTCAATGAGCTCTTGCGCTTGTTCTGGGGTCAATGCCACTACTGCTCCGAAATCTTCAAATTTGGACCATTCCTTTTGCCTTGTTTCCTGCAGGGCTTTCTGCACTTCTGGAGGCGCAGACTCATAGTGAATGCTCTTTAGAACCTTCTTACCTAGCTCTGCTTCATCCTCAGTCTGGGCAAGAAAACTAGTCCACATGGCATGTGCGTCTTCTCGATCTTGCTCTGGTAGCTCTCTGTCTCTCTGGCGTTCTCTCTCAAAATGTTCTCGTAGAGAAGCTGGCAAGTCGTTCAAATGATCATACACATTAGGCCATGCATGTGGAGCACTCGTGGATTCCCTGCGGGATGGTTGCAATGAGGTACCGCGTTCACTCTCCGGTTCGGCGACACGGGGCCTCACATTGCGGCTATGCTCATTTCCTG